CACTAATAATCAAGAGAGAAAAGGAGTAGAAATAAATAGAATAACTCACTAGCGATAAAAAAAGTGAGGGAAACTAATGGAGATAAAGACTGTTAAGTCCCCTAGACCCAATGGAAAGCTTAGTAAAATATTAAGAGTAGTAGTTACAGAAATAGTGGATGCACTAGGCAGTAAACCTTCAACAAATCCGAGATTATGGAAAAGTCCCAATAGAACACCTTTATTTAAAAAAGGAAAAGAGACAAAAAACAGGCAGGTATAGACCAATTAGCTTAACCTCTGTTATTGGGAAAATGTTACAGTCTATTATAAAGGATGTAATAGCAGAGCATTTAGCAATATAGTATGATCGTGCAGAGTCAGCTTGGCTTCATGAGGAGAAAATCATGCATGACAAATTAACTAGAATTCTTTGAACAGGATAGATAAAGGCGAAGCAGTGGAAGGGGAATGGGATGTAATATATTTGGATCTTCAGAAGGTGTTTGATTATGTCTGCACTCAGACTACACAATAAGGTAAGAGCCCATAGCACTGGAGGTAATACATTATTACGGACAGAGGATTGGATAACTAATAGAAGACAGATTTGGGATAAGGGGGACATTTTCAGGATGCCAACCTGTAGTGGTGTACCATAGTAATCAGTGCTGGGGCTACTATTATTTACAGTATATATTAATGACTTGGATAAGTAAAATGAATGTACTATCAAGTTTGCAGGTGACACCCTTGTGGAAGAGTCTAGGACCAGTGGTCATAATCTCCAAATAAAGGGTTGCACATTTAAAAGAAAGATGGGAAGGATTTCTTCTTTCAGACCGCAGTTAATCTGTGGAATTCTTTACCACAGTGGGCTGTCAAGGCTGGGTCAATAAGCATATTCAGAGCTGAGACGGACAAAATTTTAATTTTAAGGAAACCAAAAGTTATTGGCAAACCGCAAGTACAGGAATTGAGGATTATCAGATCAGCTATGATCTCACTGACAGGCAGAGCTGATTCAATTGGATGAATAGCTTCTGCTCCTAAATTTTTTTTTCCTATTCTATTTCGTGGGATATGGGCGTCGCTGGCTGGCCAGCATTTCTTGCCCATCCCTAGTTGCCCTGGAGAAGGTGGTGGTGAGCTGCCTTCTTGAACCGCCGCATTCCTCCTGCTGTGGGTTGACCCACAACGCTATTAGGGAGGGAATTCCAGGATTTTGACCCAGCGACAGTGAAGGAACGGCGATATATTTCCAAGTCAGGATGATGAGTGACTTGGAAAGGAACTCGGAGTTGGTGGTGTTCCCATATATCTACTGCCCTTGTCCTTCTAGATGGAAGTGGTCGTGGGTTTGGTCTTATATGCTTCTTAGAACTGTAAAGCTGACAAAGAACTCCCAGCAAGTGTTGATCTGTCAACACGCCAAAGTAGAACTTTAAGTGCTAAAACTTGGTTTTCTCCTGTGTGTTTAGGCTCTAGTGAATATTAGGTGGCATGAATTGGCAGGAAAGGGTGGGGGAAGAAAGAGTGGAATTCTGGGTTGGCATGAATTAACACTAAATTGGAATGCGGCTATGAAAGGACAGGGGTTGGATAGTGGATATTTGGTTGCCTGCCTGGGACATGGTGGGCGTATGGGGTTCAGGGCTGGAAGAATTTTTTTAATTTTAATTGTTAAACACAGCGCTGGAGCTTAAAGCAGGCTTTTCACCCAGCATGCCTCAGCTCTTGGGTCACCTAGTCCATCTTCCAATTCAGCTCTTCATCTCACTAACTCTGAAAACAGCGGGTGTTAGAGGGCAGCTTTAAAATGAGGTTTGCAGAGCCATGGATAACCCCCCCTTTGCGCATCTGACGTGGGAACAAAGATCAACGTTCTTATTTCAAAGTCTTTGTATGTATCAAGGTCTTCAAAGTTACTGTCAGTAGAATGGCTTCTAAAAAATTACATAGGCTTTAGATTCATTCTTAATGCTGTTCAGGAGTGCAACATATGATTCAGTGCACAACAGATTTTTTTAACAATAATTTACCTGTAATTTGTAAACAAAAAAAGGGACTAGTAGGAATTAATGAATTGAAAACAGAAAAGACAGAGGTCATTGGTTTGGTGGTAGTTTGTGTAGGTTCTGGTCCTTAATTTCCCCTTATCCTTACTGAGGTGATGGTGAAGAAAACTTTCCTTAAACATCAGTCATATTGCCACTACAAAATCTCTGGACGCAACATAATTTTCTAGAATAAACGAAGAAGAAACAAATTCGACTCATCTCATATGTTGCAGATCCTTTGGTCATTCCAACTCCCTTTACAGCAAAAAAAAGTACATCTGAAGTGTATGTCACTCAATTGTAAGTGGCTCATTGACACCTCTAGTGTCATTAAGGATGGTCAATAAATGTTGACCGGGTGCTCACATCCCACAAATGACAAGAAACTGATCATCTAAATCATTACTTAACATATCCATGTCAACATGGCTGTGCCAAGTTCATAGTCTGGTTAACAATGCCATCTTTATCGGAAGAGGACAGCCTCCCCATTTTATTTTGATTTTTCAATAGGTGCTAAGAGCAATTATTGCTAAATATGACTTTTCAAACAAAGTTGTGCCACTTTCAATCAACAGTTAGCTGAATTAATAAACCTGGATATCCATGCTGTTTAAGCAAAACATTATGATAGCATTAACATGGAATATCAATTTTCAACTTCTGTCATCCGATTTTAATACCAAGACTTTTCATAAGTGAAAATGGTTTCAAAAAAGGAAAGATGCTGACTTTAGATGGCTGCAGTTATCATCTGACCACGATTTGAGCAAACTCATGAAACCATCAATATAGAAATCAGTCTAAACTGAAATTATCATTCATCAAAATGACTGAAACCAATTACCCAACATCGATATTTTCTATTTGACTTACATCTTTCTATGGTGATGGAAGTCATTTGCAAATTATCCGGTTTGGAAAAAGTAAAGATGCCAGACACTGCATTACAAACTTTTTTTTCGCACTCAACTGCTTTTCGGCAGAGCAGAGAGATGAAAATTGATTCCATAACAGCTTGCTCTTTCTCTCTGTCCCTGTTTCTCTCAGCCTCAGGAAAGACATTCACTCAGAGCAAATTGAGAAACTTCTATTCACTCAGAGCACAAAGGTAATACAAATTTCATTACTCTGGATGATAAAAGTCATCCATTTTTCACTGGCGTGGAGGAGGTTTAGGGGTGACCTTGTAGAGATTTATAAAATCATGAGGGGCATAGCTAAGGTGAATAGCAAAGGTGTTTTCACTAGAGTAGGGGAGTTCAAAAGTAGAGGGCATATTTTTAAGGTAAGAGGAGAAAGATTTAAAAGGGACCTGAGGGGCTACTTTTTCCACACAGAGGGTGGAATGTGGAATGAACAGCCAGAGGAAGCAGCAGACCATAGAATCCCCACAGTGTGGAAACAGGCTATCCAGCCCTACAAGTCCACACTGACTCTCCAAAGAGCATCCCACCCAGTCTCATCCACCTACCCTATCCCTGTGGCTAATCCACCTAACTTACACATCCCTGGACACAATGGGCAATTTAGCATGGCCAATCCACCTAACCTGCACATCCTTGAACTGTGGCAGGAAACTGGAGCACACAAAAGAAACCTGCACAGACACAGGGAGAATGTGCAAGCTCCACACAGACAGCTGCCCAAGGCTGGAATTGAACCTGAGTCCTTGGTGCTATGAGGCAGCAGGGCTAACCACTGAGCAACCACACCATTCAAAGTACAGCTTGGGCAGCACGGTGCAAGTACAGTTACAACATTTAGAAGACATTTGGACAAGTACGTGAATAGGAAAGGTTTAGAGGGATATAGGCCAAACACTGGCAAGTGAGACTAGTTTAGTTTGGGAAACCTGATCAGCATGGACAAGTTGGACCAAAGGGTCTGTTTCTGTGCTGTATGACTCTTTGACTCTGTAATTAAACAAAATTGATCCCAGGCTAAACCTAGCACCTCAAGGATACTGAGGAGTTTTTGAATTGCTGTTCTTGATCTTCATTTTTGAACTATATGCTCTTCCTTATTAAAACTTTATAAGTATGATTATATGTGTATTTGATGTAATGTTTTATTATTTTTATCTGGTTGAGTAAGCAAACAAAAAATACTTTCTTTCACTCAAGAAAACTTTGTAATTAGCCTCTTCCTTTTTGAACTAGTGAACCGTAGGTTGATTGAAATGTGATATAGCTGCATTCTAAAAGAAATTACGAATCTTTGTTGTGGGCAACCAACAGGATTTAAAGAGGGGATTTGGTTTACTTTTCCACACCTGGTCACAAAGATACATTAAAATGCCATTACAGCAAGCACTATTACCTTTTGCTAGTTGCCATCTATGTTTCACCTAACACAATGAAGATTGCATGTTCCATGCATTCCTATCAATTAGAATTTAAAAGAAAACATTTATCCAATTTTTGATAATAGCCCATGTCTGTTAAGCTAGCAGCTGTAATATATTGTAGATTTTGTTCAGGATATTAGTGAAGATCATCTCCAAATGTGCTTTATTTTTCAATAAATGGAAACACTACCAAATTTAGCTAACAACTGAAAGGATTCCCAGAAGAAAAGTATATTATTTTATCATTACTGATTAATGTGTCCTAAACACTTGTTCATATTATCTAGATTTTGGCACAGCACAAACAAATCACAAAACATGTATTGTATTTCCTTGTGCCAGCGTTGTCCTTTCATTGCCAGCATCAAGGTCGGGTTAGCAGAAATTACAGCTCTGTGTTTATAGCTGTGCACAACGTTAGTGGAAACAAAAGGCTCATTTGAAGTTGACAGTAGCTATGCCTCATTCAAGTATAGAAAAAAATGGATAATATTGGCGCCTTTTTCAAAACATGTTGGGAACCATGTGACGGGACAGTCTTTAAAGCCAAAAGCCTATTAAAGCAGCGTTTACTTTAGCCGGATATTTCCCACTCGCTTGGTTGCTCTTACCTGACTGCTTTTCCCGATCCTCGCGTTTCCACATAGGATGATAAACGGATTGCTTACTAAATTCGCCATGAAAGCGTCCTTTGCTCCCCACACCGGTAACTGTTTTCTTTCTTGTAGGAGTTTGTAATAGCGAGAGGAGTAAGGCAGCCCATCAAAGGGGTTCAGCTCCAGGTCTGTATCACAGAGTAAAACTTCATCCCCACTGTCGGATCCAAACTCTTCGGAGAAAGTTTCTCTGTCACAGAGCGATGCGCTGTCCGGCTTTGCCGTGTGCAGTTGAACAGCAGCCATTGTAGCCTGTGTGGATGGAGGGAGCTTAGCAGAACTATCACACTCAACTTCCTATGATTTGTTCTATTAATACCTGGTCCTGTAAAGAGTTGGAAACCAACACCAACATTTCCTGCTGCAGTCTACTGCCACTTCGCACTCTCCTAATCGTCTGTTGTTGCCAGCGATCATCTGCAAACGAAATTAATGTTTATTGCAAACCGATCGCTTAAAGGTATTGCAGTAAAACAAATGCATCTTTCTTTTGGTTAAAGCTGCCGATTTCCCTCCATCCCAGCCCACGTGTCGCGCTATTTATTGACTGAATAGTCCGGGCTAAACGGGAGAGTATTGTACAGAATAATACGGTCATGTGGCCACTTAATCTCCTGACAATACCGGTTAGGGGAATGCTTGTTGGAAACTGCAGAGTGAAAGGTTTAATTGGTCTCTCAGTAACCGGCTGCACAAACACATCTGTCACAGAAACGGCTGGTCAGGACACTGAAAGAAATGCAAATCACCCTCTCTGCTTGTGTTCGAATGTGAATCACATCAGATTTTATTGTGTTTGTTCGCAATCCGAGCAGGCATTGGACTGTGGACCCCTTTTTCATACCCAGAAAGTAAACTTCCAAAAGGAATAGACACTAACCGAATCTGCTGCACTTGTCCTCAAAATAACCACGAGTGTACAGCCTGAGAGTGTGGGGAAGGAAGGTTCAATCAAGGCATCCCGAAGAAAATGAATTCGTGATTAGAAAAGTAATAGTGTGCTGGGTTAAGGGGAGAAAGCAGGAGAATGGCACTAGCCAGATGCTCATTCATAGAGCCAGTGTATTCATGATGGGCCAAATGGCCTCCTTCTGCCCAGTGACTATTCTGTGATTCTGTAAACCATACGAAATGCAGTTAAGGGCTCTTGAGGCACAGTGGTAATGTACCTATCTCTAGATCAGGGGATAACAAGGTGTAGAGCTGGATGAACACAGCAGGCCAAGCAGCATCAGAGGAGCAGGAAAGCTGACGTTTCGGGTCTGGACCCTTCTTCAGAAATGAGTCCA